TACGTGATGTCTATGAGGTGCTCCCTATGTGGTGCTGTCTGTGTGCTCCCTATGTGGTGCTGTCTATAAGCTATCCGTACATCCGTACATGCGACTCGCCGGGACAAACATGTATTATTCCGCCCAGAACCCCGAACTTCATTTTCTCCGGGGGGATATCGGGGGCACTCGCGATAATGAGATCGATAGTGAGACAGGGCGTGAGGTCGATAGCGAAATCGACTGTGGGATCGGTAATGAAATCGTGAGATCGACCTTCGGGTGATAAGGAGGTTTGGGGGGGAAAAAGCCAACAGAAGAGAAGCGCGATGATTGTTATGGGACGCGGACGGGACACCGACGGGACACCACTGCGGGACATCCCTGGCCACCGCTCGCGGACACAGACGGGACACCGACGGGACACCACGGCGGGACACCACGGCTGGACACCCCCGGCCGCGCCGGCCCAAAGGGCGGTCTTTTGTCTTGACCCGCCCTAGCCACAGCTTAGTCATTCCTCTCGACTGCCTCCGCAACTTCGCGTCGCCCGCACGCACGCACGAGCCTGAAAACGAAAACGATTTCCCAGTGGGGAGCCCTCCGTTCCACTTCGATCCACTTTGGGGGTGCGATCTCCTGCAACATCTCCTGGCATGCCGCCCCTTGACTGGGCAACCCTCGCGCCTGGTTGGGAGTCAAACTGCTGATGCAGATCAGTCGTTGTCTGTCGTAACAGCCGAGATAACTAGCGCCCCCACAAAGTTGCTGTATTTCTCGATTCTCCTCTGCTGTAGGCACCTGGGTAGGTGGGTTGGTGGCCGGTCCACTCTTATCTCCCCGCGCAGGTATGCGTCGGTCGATGGCAAGTGGGCAGGTGTCCTTGGCCTCAAGAGGATCTCTCGACGCATATTGTGGAGCCTTTTGAGGGGACCTTCAAATTTACATTGATTGCAATATGCCTGAGTGTTAAATTATGCGCTGCACTAAGCGCTTGCATTACTGGTGGACGGGAAAGAGAGGGATCCTGCGTAGTAGAGATCTGTGGGTGGTGGTGGTTATGCCGAGGGCGTCGACGCTTTGGCTAGGGTCGTTGGTGCACTCGTCGCGCTCGTATTACTGTCGATGCTCCCTCCCTTCCCAAAGTGCCCGCAGTCTGTATACTGTCGGCGTGTTGCTCGAAATCGGAGTGCGAGTTGGTAAAGATGTTCGGATGCTTCTGTACTCTGCTTCACATGTACTTTCAGCTTCTAGGAGTTTTTCAGGGTATTTGATTAGTTCGTTCATTATCTTGTGCTCTCTCTCATCATCAGGTGTCTCTGGTCCAGGCTCGCTTTGCTTGTTTGAGGTGGCTCTGTGATCTAAGCTTTTGCAGCTGTTGTGCAGCTGCCTCTCCGCCGCTCCTGAGCCTCGCCGAACTCCGCGCTGAGGTCCTTCATGATTATTCCCGTGGCGTGCTTGAAGAACTGTGGAAGTAGGAGTCAAAAGGTTTCGAGCTGCTCCCCATGTCGAATTCCCGTTGACCATGGCTACCCTCACGCTCGACAGTGGGTTGATAACATGTACTATGTTCTCGCTCGCGTTGCCATTGCCCTCCTGGCCCTTCGGCCTGTAGGCCTCCGCCACCTTGCAGAGAGAGAGACTGTATCTGTCACGAAGCCCTTTCCATTATCCAGAGAAGCTGATTTCACCCATTGGTTCCAGATAGCGAACGGTCCAACACCCCCTCGTTCTCGAGCTCGCTGTTCAGGTAGTAGATTGCTGCTGTCACCAGGTCTTGGAGCACATGTTCAAGGGGTGTTCCTATCTTGTGGCCTTTGCCTTGGTTCCTCAATTGCATGGCGTAGTCTCTTCCTGCCTGCAGTGCTTCTTTAAATGGTACCGCCGACGCTGCTACGAGCCAGAACACTGCGATCGCGTGCACCAGCCGCTTCAAATCCTGAGGGTTGCGCAACGCGAGCCTCTGCAGGATGGCGATGTTCCAGGCCAGGTCTTGCGATGGTCCGTCCCTTGCTCATGTGCCTCACCATCCTTCTCCTCCTGGTAGTGGTGGTGGCTCTCTGCTGTCCGAAGAGCTGGCCGCGATGGAAGTTCCTTTTTTCCGCCGCCTTTACTGCCACTTCTACCTGCGAGCTCAAAATCGTGTTCCTGTGTGCTGCGCCTGATCCTCCTGGTCCATCAGCCGTCCGCGGGGGCTTCGGGGCCATCTTCTTCTTGAGCATCTCTGACCGAACGGGGTCCTTCGCAATGGCAGCGTGCGTGCGACTTAGCATATCCAAGATATTGAGCCCCATGGCGAGACAGGAGGCACTTCAGCTTCCGTGGCGCTTCGACCTCGTGCGCCCATCTACTTCTGCCTCGGCGACAGATCCCGTGGTCCTCCGCTGACCTGGTAGCGCAGTCGAGGGCAGCGCAGCGGCTCGCAAACGTGCCGTAGCATGGGCACTGGCTTGTGGCAACTGTCACTGCAGTGATGAGAGGTCTGCCCTGATGCACCTCTCTGCGATGCCCAGTGCTGCTGCTGTTGTGAATCTCGCCTGTAGCCTCAACTACCAGTAGCTACCAAGTCGTGCGAGCGTCTCTTGCTCCTGGCACGATCAATCACCACACCAGAAAGTCTTGGCAATGTTGGAGAAGGGGGAGGAGGAAGGAGAACTGCCTCGAAGGAGCAGGACACATTACCGTGCAAAACCAGGTCAACACGCAAATGGGCCAGTTGCGAGCCATGGGGCGAACAGCAAATAAGCCTAAGGAAACACTGAGCTAGAACACAGGTGATCCGGCTGGGAGTGTCCGCCATAGCAGGCGAGCAGGGAGGCGAAGGAGAAGAGAAGGAGCCCGAAGGACTCGGCCGCTGGGCGGCGGCCCAGACCGCCCAGCGAGGCACGCGAGCCTGAAGGTGGAGTCCCCTACCAGCAGCCGTGCCGCTCCGACCCGTGGGGCTGCGAGCTGCGCCGCTCGAAGCAGCGAGGGACGGAGAAGGGGGAGGCGCGGCGCCCGGCGCCGCACGGAAACCGGCGCCGAGTGCGGGATGCTGCCCCCGGCCCGCTCCGCGCCCCCGCTGGGCCGGCGGGGGCCGGGGGCCTGCCCGGGGGGGGCCTCCCCGGGAGAGCCCAAGGGGAGTGCGATTCGCCTCCGGAGCCCGGCCCAGCGACTGGCACCGCACGAATAGCCATCGCAGAAGGCGGGTGGGCGGAGGGAAGAGCTGGACCGCTTACCAACGAGGCGGGCTGGGCACGTGTTGCCGTGGAGGGCCACAGGGCAAAACATGGGGGAGGGTAGCGAGGCGCCGAATCCTGAAATGTGATTGCCAAGATGCGTTCCAACAGAAACAATGCAGATGCTGCGAATTCGAATGTCGTTGTCAAGACGCAGTGTCGAAACATACTTCCGCGAGATGCCGTCTGGCCGCCACATGCAAGGACACGCCACCATACATGACGTATAATGCGCTGTGTGTACTGCTACTGCGAGAGGCCCGAAACATGAGGAGCAACCAGGGGCCCAGGCCCCTGGAAGGAGGCGGTGCGCGTCCAGATCAGCGCGGCATGCGGGAGAGCCTGTCCGTGCGACAGCCGTCAGGAGCCGTGGGCAGCAAGCCCTCCGTGGCCGACCTGCCAACTGAAAAAAAACGGGGTGCTGGGCCCGAGGAGGCATGCAACGAATGGCCGCTGCAAACGCGGAAGGCCGAAACACGAGACTGCAAAGCTGAACGGGACAACTGTGCCTCGTGACTCTCGTTCCACAAGGGGGTTCAAGTTGATGGTTCGCCAACTAGCACGATGATGCACCACAAGCGGCAAGTCATTTTTTGAGCAGGGACCGACCGTCCCGGCATTCCTATAGACCTACCACGACATGTTCGTAGAACCCAAAAAACGTTTTAATAACAAATACAATGTTCTTAGAACATAAACCCGATGTGTTAAAACAAGACAATATGAACCATAGATGTTCTAAGAACATTTCGTGGAAAACACAAAGGGTTCTTAGAACATTGTTTGGTGGGGCTATAGGCACGCCAGGACGCTTCGCCACTGCTTGAATTTTGTGAGTGAAACAGGGACGTACAGCAGCGAAGGTACGCCAAGATAGAGACGGTGCCAACACCTCGAGGAGATGGCCAGGCAGTCGCGACAGGAGTTCGCCGGCCCCACGCGGGGCGGGCCTCCCGGCGTCGCCGCCATACCCGCCGACCCTGAGGGGCCGGCGTTCCTGCGGTGGCCGGCGCCACATTCCAGCTGCCGCGACCGAGGCCGCCTCGTCGCGGCTGAAGAGGAGCCTAGCGCCGTTGAGGCTGCGCCGCGTGCCGCAGCTGCCGCAACATCCAGCGCGACTCGCGTGGGAGTGCGGGCGGAGAGCGGCCGTGAGGTTTCGTGCTGTGGCATTCGCTGCCCTGCGGGATTCGGCGGATGCAGCACCATCGCGGGGTGGGTTCGCACAGACGGAGATGCCTCTGCCCACTTGGCAAAAACAGCCTTTCCCTGTCGGCAGTTGGCAAAACCGCAGTAACACTAGGTGGAGAAGCTAGAAGACCGAAGCAGACTGCACCACCCTTGTTGATGCGTGGGGTGCGGGGTCTGCGATGGGCTACCAACTTGAGAAAACGCTCAAGCTCTGAAAGCAACTCGGGATCAGACAGATGATAATTCGGCGTCGTGAGTCTCGCTCCAAAGGAAGTCGGGGGAAGGCATCGGGAAAAACTACGTTGCGACACTCGGTGGCGTAAAAGATGCCCGGAAGCAGCCGAGGAGGGCGTCGGTGGAACTGCCAGACGTTGAGTTCCAAGGGGCAAAAAGGAAGCGAGGTCGAAGACGCTGGGGGATGGGAGACTCAAACATTGGAGGTCCTAGAAGGCCAGCGGGAAGGAGGCGGCATCGTGCCAAGTACCTCGGCCTTGGCGTCGGCGTCTTAACCCCGACCTCCATGACCATCATGTCCTTGTTTCCGACCATCCTGCTCAGCATGTCCCAAGCCCTGGGCCCAGGTCGGCTGTCGCTCTCGCAGCCGCAGTGCTCCAT